TTTTTTTTTTTTTTGTGCTGATACATGTACTTGTCTCTCTGTAAGAAACTTTGACATTCAAGCTCCTGTAATTTAGCAATAAATTGGAAACCCAGATGGGGCCAGACAACCCTATGTTGGCTCTGAGATAGACAGGTAGGTAGACTAATAGTGACAGAGATCATAGACCAGACGTGCTACCGGTGGGCACCCATTGTTTCTATATATAACCTCTTCATTTTGAACAGAATGAGATGCAGTTGAGAAAAGGTAATTGATTTTCCCAGTAACCCATTGGACTGGCCACAAAACCAGGAGTTTGGGCAGTAGTGAATGAAAGGGTGACATCACCATGAACAAAGCTCTCCTTGCCACTGAGCCTTCAAATCCAGAGGCTCCACATCATGGGGCACACAACCCATGAATTGAAAATATTTGAAAAATAACTTGGTCTGTACCAAACGTGTGCGCAGACCTTTCTCTTTGGCATTATTCCCTCAGCAAGATGGTATAGCAACTGTTTCCACAGCATTTATGTTGTATTAGATATTAGAAGATAACTTCATCCACAGGCTGTGGATGTGTAGGTTATGCATAAATATTACCTTGTTTTATATAAGGGGCTCATGAAAATGTAGATTTTTGTAACTATAGGAGTCTTGGAACCAATGTGTGCATTGCTTTCATCCCTATTTGGGCAAATACTCGCTAGCTCACTTACCCACTCATCCAATCAAACACCCAATGGGATTCCATTATGTGTCACATATTATGAGAAACCTTGTAGAATGACAGAGAAGAAAAATGCAGATTGGAAGTGCAATTCAGTAAGTTATGAACAGGGAGGAGGGTGGGCTAGGGAAAGAGACCAGTAAGGACATTTTTCCAGGAGTGGTAAGGGGTCTTGAGGCTGAATGGCAGCCTCGGGATGAATAACGCTCTATTGAGAGGTAACGCTCTATTGAGAGAGTTTGTTGTCTGTCCTGTTGCTAGAACAACAGGGCAGGAACATCATGGCAGAAGGGCGTGGTGGAGGAGAGCTGTATGGGCGACCACACTGATGTGGTGGCGAGCAGGCTTTGGAATTAATGAGTTGGTTTTGTATATTAATGTATGAGTCTGTCATTGCGTTGTCCCAGGTGTCATTGCGTTGCCTGAGGAGCCAGTAGCTGGCACACAGAAACAGAGCTCTCCATGTAATGGTCATGGTAGAGACCCATATTGTCCTGTGACACTGTGATGTCTCAGAAGGCAAGATGACTACATTAGAGGACACTAACTCTCCCTCAGAGTTCCAAGGCAACAGCTGCCAACCTTAGAGTTAAGATAGTTTTCTCATTAAGCAAAGAGGTACTGCTCGGAATGTCTTTGATCTGTCTTCACAAGGCCTTGCTTGCCATTGTACCTTTTGCCTCAGCTGTTCCTTAGACTTCTTGGTATGCCCCTGGTAAGGATCCAATAAATAATGGGCAGTTCAGAGAAGTCTTTGTCTTATCTATAAGAGCTCTGACCTTTCCAGGTTCCTTTATCCCATATTACATTGTCTTTTATCCTTTGCCATACACTTGTCTAAGATTGGGAGATTAGCCAGCAGCTGATAAAGCTGCTTACCTTGTGGAGACTAGGAAGAAGAAAGAAAAAAGATGATCCAGGGAGAAGATAAACTCTCCAAAGGCACATCTGCTCTAACCAGGTCCCAATTCCAAATACCACTTTAGCTATCAACTCATCAGTGAATCTATCCATGGATGGTATAGCATTCCATGATCCAATCATCTTTCAAAAGCCTCACTGATGAACACATGAGACTTCAGAGGAATGTTGTAGATCTAAATCACAATGAGTTCCTACCCAAAGGGGGCAGGAGGTACAGTGAAGGGAAGAGCTTTAATGTAAAATGTATGCAGGAGCACGGGCACATAGCGCCAAACGGGGCTGAGGAGACACGTTGGGAGGGTCACATCCAGAGTCAACAATAGACAGCAAAAAAGGATCATATTGCAAAATACCTTGAACAGGGAGGATTTCTTTTTGCACTGGTTAGTTCTCTTTTGAAAATGCTTATTTCCCTCCAATTTAAATGGCTTAAACTTTATCCTGCAAATAAGGGGCAACTACTAAACTATTTGAAGCAGGGAATTCTTCTGGTCAAATTTGGATTTTAAAAGATCAATAATAAATTTCCAGATGAGTTTCTGTGAAATGAAATTAGGGAATGCAGATGTGGTGCTATCTGGTTCTTTTCTTTTTTTCCAGTACTGAATCTAGGGCCTCCACATATAGCTACATCCCCAACCTCAGGCTTTCCAAGTTTGTTATTTTTGAAAATAGCCACTGAATTTCCCATGCTGAACTGGAACTTGCAATACTCCTGTCTCCACCTCCTGAGTAGCTGGGATTACAGGCGTGTGTCACTATGCCCTTCTAGCAATACTTCTTTCTCACAGAGAAGAGAAATAATAAAGCAGTAGTAAAAGAAAGAAGCAAGTGAAAACAGGGAGAGATTTGGAACATCTAAGTGGATCTGGTGGGATTAGGGCTGGCGGGAGGCTTCTGGTCTGGGTGTGCAAGAGGATGCTGGCAAGCTTCGCCAAGGCAGGGAATGGGGCGGAAGCTCAGAACCTTGGGGGATGAAAAGATGACAAGCTTGGTACATAAAAGAGAGAACTGCCTGTAGGCCTCCAGATCTCAGGCTCATAGAGCTGAAAATCCTGCATAAGCAACCATCAGGACAACCCGGAAAACATTGGAAGTGACAACGGTATGGGTGGAATCTGCTCGGTGCCAAGGGCATTTTGAAACAAAAGGGAGAGGGCCACAGTGGAGTCCCAGAAAGGAGGCAGCCAGAGTGGCAAAAGAACAAGGAGAGAAGGATTTCCATAGCAGCAGAAGGCTGTGGTGGGTAGATCTCATAGTAAAGTCCATTAAGAGGAGGATATACAATTCTTTTACTGTGACATAGGAAGGTAAGTGAAGGATTGAGTGTGAGGAGTCCAACGTGCGCAAAGAAAGGAATAGAAGGGGAGATTTGAAGACCCCAACACCAGAGGACTTTGGTTTAATTTAATTTTATTGTGATGAGAACACTCAATGCGAAATCTCCCCTCCTAATGATTTTCTAAGTGTGCAATGCAGTATTGTTAACGTGAGGTAAGGAGTTGGGTAGCAGGTCTCTAGAAATCGCTCTTCTTGTTTAACTGACGGCTCTACGCCCTTCCCCAGGTTCCTAGCTCCTGGGGAGCACGAGCCAGCAGCGTGCGTCTGTGGTCTGACTATTTTATGGGTCTCATGCCGGTGGAAGCACGCAGCACTTTTGTCTACACACAATGGCTCGCTTCAGTTTTCCTCTCCGCCTCCACCCTGATTGCCATGTCTCTTCTGTAACAATATTGGTCCTAAAGAAAGAGAAATTCTGCAACATGTGGTAACATAGATGAGCCTTAAGATCATTATACTAAGGGAATGGAGGGCTTTTGGAGCTAGCAGGGAAAAGATGGACCCTAATGGAGGGAATGGTAGCCAGCAACCCAAAAGACCGAATCCACCAAGATCCCTAGGTCTGAGCGCCAACATTTCATTTGTCTTTTCAGTATGTTAAGTACTCATTTGCTTCTCAGAATATTGTGACCCCAATGAAAATATTGGAAGGTCTCGCAAGCATGAATTATTACTTGGACGATCACAAATAGCACCAAAAAATAAGAGCCATAAATGAAATTACACAAGAACTGCCATGCTGCCTTCTCAGATATCCCAGTAGGGGTTCCTAAAATCAGTTTTGTGAAGATGTAGGCAGTTTAAGGTCACTGAAAATGGACTCGGATTAAGGATCATGGTCCTGTGACAAGTAAGTATTTAACTTGAACATTTCCCCAGGGTTCTCGTGCTGCACACCAATTTCCGAATTTGATTGTATAGTATATTTGGAATTTTCAAAAACATCAAAGACTATCTGGTGAGCAGTGAAGAAGGAGATATTAGCGCTCTGTTCTGAAGGAAGAAAGATGCCTGCTCTCTGAGACACGTCCATTCTGAAACTTCCTGAGGCCCACGGAATCCTGTCTTAGCATTTAGGAGACCTGAGCTTATTATCTGCAATTGAGCTATCTTGCGTCTCCTTCTCGCTCTGCTTCATCGTTGAAGCACGGCACGCAATACACGCTCATCTTCTTTTGCTGCAGTGAGAAGCTTCTTGAAAAACCTCACGTATGGAAACTATGCAGAAATCTGAGCCACCCCATGACGTGCAGAGGTCATCTGACCCATGGGCTGCGCCAGGTTTCTGTTCATTTCAGAACCAGGAAGTGTGTGGCTGGTGCTGGAGCTGCAGAAAAGCCCTGGCGCTGCAAGACCGCACCTGATCCACAGGATGGACAAAAGTCTCCAGGTCAGCTGTCATATCCAGTGCTTACGTGGGATCTATTCAGGGTGACTTAATGATAAATGCTTTCTCCCAAGGGGACTTTTGATTAATAGCACTGATTTTGAGAGCTTGCTTGGAGATTCTAGCAGAAGAGCCCAACTACTTGTATGCCCTTGACCACGGAAGTGGTTCTACCCTGTGGGATAAGGTGGTTCTCTGACTGAGCTTGAAGTTTCAAGAGGGACACAGATGGAGTGGTGACAAAGCAAGAGGACACCCTGCCAGCCTGCCAGATCAGCCAAATCAACTCTGGTGATTAATGGCGTGACGGGTGTCTCAGCCAGATGGCC